GCTCCCAAGGGGAAGCGTAGCCCTGCCGTCTCCAGGGGCAAGGAGAACACGAAGCATCCACAGGATTTGGGGGGGGGGGGTCGTGAGGGGTTTAAACCAAACCAGCGCTTTCGACTGGCAGTAAGGGGCCTGAGGTGTAGTGAGGACCCGACCAGGTGCCCGGCATGTTTATTTCCCACAACTGCGCTGAAAGGCAAGACGTTAGGACACCCCGTTCGCTGCTGCTGTGTACTAACAGCGCCCACTACGTCCACACACTTGAGACATGGACACAGGTGGGAGCTAAGGTCGGACGCAAGCACACCTGAGCACTGCCTGCGTGAGGCCGTCGTACTCGGTCACACACACGCGCGCGCACGCCTGTCACTGTCCAGGCTCATAGAAACCTTTGTGTCTCAGCCCTCTGCCCACAGAGCACCCTTCCTGGGCCGGGGCTGACCAGACGCAAGGACGCGGGCCCATCCTCAGGCCCAGACAGGAGGCAGGACGAGTGCATCTGTGGCAGGTCACTGCCCCGGCAGCTTCTCTGGCAACGTGTCCTTCAGGGCCCGCACGCCCCTAACGAGGACAGTACCCTGGGCCCGTGCAGATGACAAGATGAGGCCGAGCGACGTGCCCCGGTCCCAGAGCAGGTAGGGGACACACGCGGGGGCAGGTGTAAGGGACGGGCACCCCCACTGGTGTGAAAACGGGCCGGCAGGATGGCTCAAAGCCCAGGTCTGGCTTCCACTCGGCTGCTAGCAGCTGGGAACCCTCGGCAAGTGATCTGCCCTCCCGTGCCTCAGTTTCCTCTCTGAAACAGAAGATAATGCAGCACTTATCTCCTAGGGTTCTGCAGGGTTAGCTGTGAAAGGCTGTAAACAGTACCTGGCACAGAACAAGGCTGAACAGGCGAAGGTTGTAGCAGTAGTGATGACAGTCATAACACAATGGCAATAACAACAGCGTGTTATCTAGCCTGACTGCACCTTGAGCTGTCCGTCCACCGTTACCCAGGCTCACCAGGGACCCGAGGGAGCAGAGGCGCCGGTCACGGGGCAGGGCCCCAGGCGCGGGGTGAACTTGGGGTAACTGCGCTGACTGCACCGGCCACGGCCAGCGCTCCCCTCTCCCGCCGGCCCCTCCCACTGTCCCAGAGGGCAGCCCGGAGGCCGCAGTGTCGACAGCGAGCTGCCAGCTGGGCCCTGCCGGATGGCTAAGCCGGCTGCCTGCACCCCAAGGCCCGCATTCCACAGGGGCCCTTTGTTGTGGCCTCGCGCTCTGGCTCCACCTGAGACCTGAGTGCCTTCCTGGCAGAGCGCCGGGCCGGGCGGGAACTGGGCCTGGCTCCCACCTGCCCGGAGTCTGCCAGCACCCTGGAGGCTCTGGACAATGTGGGTTTCAACACAAACGAGCTGGGTACTTTTCGCCACAGGGAAGGGGCAGAGCGGGGAAAGGGGCCTAGCCAGGAGGGCAGGCGGCCAGCAGCCTATTCTGAACATTCGCGGCTGCTGCGGGCCCCTCTTGTTGCCCCGAGAGATCGCACAAAGGGCGGGGTGGGCGAGAGGGCTGCCGTTCCCAGGGCACCTGCACCCCACCCCTGCCCCTGCGTCCTCGGGACGGCCGAATGAAAACGTCACCTGGGTACGGGCGCCATCGCCTGCCTGCACCACCGACCCTGGCCCAGTCCCTGCCTCTCTGCACCTCAGTCCCTTCACCTGTCAAATGGGAGGATTAAGGGCACCCACCTCCTACGTGTTGTGGGGGCAAAAACAAAAAGGCAGCTCCCGACCTTCCGTCACTGCCCTGGCCATCTGCGCAGGGGTCCAGAAGCCGGCACTGCTGTCGCCCTCGTTCGCAAAGTGCAAAACGGAGCACAGACGGCACAGGACTCATCCCGGACACTCAGCCAGGACGCCACACAGGCCGTGTCCCGTCGATTTCAACGTCAGCGCCCTTTCTCCCAAAGCTAACCTTTTGGGGACCAGGATCTCATAGAAAATCCGCTTGCCACAGAGCTAATCTCGCACGCACACACATGTGCATGATGCACACACATGTGCGCACACACGCACACACATGCACACGCACGCACAGCGTTTCGGTTCAGAGCCCTCTGAAGGCAGCCTGGCTGGGACGCTAGACCAGGAAGGCGCGGTGCCGTGTTTGGGCCGGCATCCTTGCCTCGGGCTCTGCTGGGCTCTGGGAGAGCTTGTTGTCAAGGGGCTGCGCGCTATTTCTTGGGAAGAGAACGGCACAGACGCGATGCTGATCACCTTCAGACGCTTCGGCCGCAGCCAGGGGAGGCCAGCTGGAGCCCGACGCTCCGCCGTGTTTGCTGGTGACCCCTCCAGACAGTGGCACCACGAGGACACCCTGCTCGCTATCCCCACCGGCACTGCTGTCCTGCCCCCCAGAAAACCTGCCCCCCAGCCACATGCCGTCCGCGGCCCTGCTCTGTCCCCTAGACGGTGTCACCAGGAAACGGGCCCCTGGCTTAGGGACAGGCCAGGCCAACAGGAGACCTGGCAGGAGGCCAGAGGGAGCAGGACTTGCTCCGGCTCCGTCCCTCCCCACCAGGGACAGCCTGGGGACAGCTCCTCACTCCCGCTCCCCCGGGCCCTGCCCCACCCCTGCAGCCCAGGCTCTCCAGCTGGGCCCACATGGCCCGCGTGCTGGGGAGGGCCGCAGAGCGCCCCCCTTGGGCTGGTGGCCCCTTCTGGCACCTGCAGGGCCATCCTCCTCCAGAGGGACTCGGGTCCAAGCATGTGGCGTGGCTCTGACACTCAGCACCGGCCTCGGGCTGGACCCCACTTCCGAACCTGTTCCCTCACCTGTCCCTGGGGGACAATGTGACACGCACGCCACAGGCTTCCTGGTATACCTGATCACGTCTTCCCTCCGTTTCTGGAAGGACCCAGGGTCTGGCGCGTCAGCATGAAGGAAGCCACGCAGGAGACCCGCCCCAGCCCAGGCGGAGCGAAGGCCCGAGACTGAAAGCGCGTTGGCTGGTTCGAGGCAGCGTGTGCGGGCGGAGGGGAGGCTCTAGTGTGGTCGGGGGTTCATATCTCTGCTCTGCCACTTGCCACCTGCATGACCTTGGGCACATGGCTGAACCTCAGTTTCTCTGTCTATAAAATGGAGGCAGCAGTGCCCACCGCTGTCTATGAGACAGAGCCTGTGCCATGCGGGGGTGGCCCCTGGCACAGAGCAAGTCCCTCATAAATGATAGTTGTCACCGGTCACTCTGATGCTTGGCTGGTCTCAGTCCTCTAGTCCATGAAATGGGGCTAATCGTACCCATCCACAGGGCTGGTGGGGAACCACTGGGCAGGTGCACACTGACAGACAACTGCCGTTACTGTTATTCCTCATCCGGCCCGCCAGGGGCTCGGCCAGCAGCTGGTCCGTGGCTGGGGAGAAAGCCAGCCCCACAGACACGCTTCCGAGCGGGTGAGACAACGCTGTCTGCGGAGCTCAGGCTACTGAAGGGGCTGCTCCCGCCGCGGCAGGAGTGCTGAGCCTGCACGCCCGCGGCGGGCGGGCGGCGGGGACCCGAGAGTCCCTTACACAAACATTTGCCGACGGGGCATTTGGGTCTGTCAATGGCTGTCGATAAGGACAGGTTCCGCTCTGCACGGCAGGATCTGGGGACTTGCTGAGCTGTGAGCCGGGGACTCTGTGCCCAGTCCTGATCCTCCGCTCCGGCCAGAGAGGAGCGAGGGCAGCTCTGGAGGCGGGGCGAGGGAGTGCAGGGGCAGAGTGGGAGAGCAGAGGACCCAGCAGATGCCTGGGGAGGGGAAGGCTTCCTGAAGAAAGTGTCATTTGAGCTGGGCTGTAAGGGCCGAACAGGCACTTGCCAGGTTAACAAAGTACACAAGCCAGAGGGCAAGGCCTGCTCCGGGAGGGGCGCAGGCTGAGCAGAGGGGTTTCCGAGGGTGTGGCAGGCTGAGCTCAGTCCGAGGGCCGCCTCCTGTCCCGGGGGGATGCAGTCTTGCATCGCGGACACTGCTCAGGTCTGCTCGCTGCCCAACCAGACCAGCGAGGCCCCTTGGGAACTCTCGGCTCCCAGGAGCGGCCACAGGCCCCGCAGGTGCTGCCTGACCTGGGCCAGGTGTCACTGGCTGGGACAGAAAATGATCATGTCCTGGTTCCGGGCTCCATCTCTACTGCTGAGTGGGGGAAGGCGGGCTTTGCAGCCATCACCCCCAGACTGTGCCCAGGTGACGCAGGTGGCCCCCAGCTGCCACTGGATACGGGGACAGGTGAGGGCGCAGTGCAGCTGCTGGCTGTCCTGGGACTCACGGGGGGACAAAGGCGGCATGCCACTCGCGATGTCGGGGCTCCGTGGGGGGCACTGCAGGTGGAACACCTGGCCCCTTCACGAGCCAGCCTCTCCACCCGTCCCCTTCCCCAGGGTGTCATGCACACACCAACCCTGGGTCCCTCTGCTCCGGCAGCCCTTTTGTGGGTACACAGGTCCCCTCTGTGGGGAGGCCTCCCCGGACCCCTCACTCAGACAGTGTGCCTGCCTCCTCCACCTGGCCCACAGGCCCACAAGGGCACTGCTGCACCCCAGCCCAAAGGCGGAGTAGCTGCTCCCACGTTCTCGGGGACGGACTGAGTAACTGGTGAGGCCATGTGACACCAAGTGTGTGTGTGTGGGGGGGGTGAGGTGCTGTCACCGTCAGGGCCCTGGTGGGAAGTGGATGGTCCTCAAACGAGTAGCCGAGGGGGAGCGGGGTGTAGGGAAATGGGTGCGAGTGGCCCCCCGGGCCGACCAAGGGAACCTGGACCAAGTGTTGGGTGGTGAGGCCACAGGATGGGAGCCCTCTGGTCGTGTCTGCCAGCCTGCCCCAGCCTGGCGGGGGGATGGGGAGGCCCCCTGGCCCACTCTCCTGCCCCCTACTACCTGCCAAGTCTCCCAGCGACCCGCCCAGAAGCCAAGAGGTCACAGATGCTGTCCACACAGGCTGCCTCCCTGGCCCTGCGGCCGTGGGTCCCGGAAGCCCCCTGCTTACCGTGGAAGTGCTCAGCGGTCTTCCGCCGCAGGGCCTGCAGGGTCACCTCGGCGTCAGCCCACTCCAGGACCAGCCTCCGGCCGTACAAGTGGGTGCTGTGGCACAGGGCGCTGAAGGCTCTCTGGGGGCAGGGACGAGAAATACAACGCAGCGCGTTAGCGACCCCCTGACCTCCAGCACTCCCTCCTGCCTCCTGCCGGCTGGCACCGCAGGCTAAAGGCCAGCTTCGGCCCAGGACACCTGCTCCAGGCGAGGCGGGCGAGCACTGGGCACACATTCCATCGGCGGATGGCGTGCAGGGACAGCGTTGCATGTGCCCGCGTGGTCCACACACCCACACCTGGGCGGTGGCTGGGCCTGGGCCTGGTGGCCTCTTTCCCACGACACACCCTGGCTGGGGTGGGCGACCCCCGTCGCCAGCTCCTCTCCACCCTCTGCCAAGGGCCGCCCCTGTGAGAAAGCTGAGCCCACCTGCACCTGATGACCACAGGCCGGCTGGCCCCCATCCCTCTGCTGCCCTAGGCCGAGCTCCCCTCGGCCTCCTCATCTGGCCCCGGCCTGCCGGCCACCTCCCACCCCAGTGGCCCGTGGGCCCCGTGTCTGCCCTCTCCCCGTCCTCGCCCGCCTGACCGCCACACTCTTGCCCACTTCCCGCTTTCCTGGTTTGTTTTGTGACAGCTGTACACAGATGCAGTCCACGGGCCGCTCTGTACACAGACGCAGTCCACGGGCCGCTCTGTATACAGATCCAGTCCACGGGCCGCTCTGTGCACAGATCCAGTCCACGGGCCGCTCTGTGCACAGATCCAGTCCACGGGCCGCTCTGTGCACAGATCCAGTCCACGGGCCGCTCTGTGCACAGATCCAGTCCACGGGCCGCTCTGTGCACAGATCCAGTCCACGGGCCGCTCTGTACACAGACCCAGTCCACGGGCCGCTCTGTGCACAGACGCAGTCCACGGGCCGCTCTGTACACAGACGCAGTCCACGGGCCGCTCTGTGCACAGATCCAGTCCACGGGCCGCTCTGTGCACAGATCCAGTCCACGGGCCGCTCTGTGCACAGATCCAGTCCACGGGCCGCTCTGTGCACAGACGCAGTCCACGGGCCGCTCTGTGCACAGACGCAGTCCACGGGCCGCTCTGTGCACAGACGCAGCCCACGGGCCGCTCTGTACACAGATCCAGTCCACGGGCCGTTCGAGGCCCCAGCTGAGGTGAACCGCTCGCTGGTCTCGACTATAGTCCAAGTTGCACAACCAATTTTAGAACATTTCATCACCCCCACCCCCACAGAAAGTCCGGACTCAGCAGCAGTCACTTCCCATCCCCCCACCCCAGTGAGCGCTAACCTACTTTCTGTCCCTGTGACCTGCCTATTCTGGACATTTCATACGGATGGACTCACACGGAACCGTGAGTCCCTGGTAAACGTCACTCAGCTTCAGGCTACATGGCACTGGGCAGGCGCTCCTGAAACACGCCCGCGGTGCACGGAGGCCACTGCGCTTCGTGGCCAGGGGCCTGGAGTCCACAGCGGCCCTGCACTTGCTGGCTCCAAAACCATGGGCCTCCGTCCCCTCCTCCAACACGGACAGTGCCCAGCGAGCTGGCGCAGCGCGCAGACGCCGGCCGTGCAGCTCCTCTGCGGAGAGGGCCTGGCCCGGCGGGCGTCGCGCTGGAGGCCAAAGCGGCTCCCGGTGGCAGGCAGCAGCGTCTGCTGCAGAAGGAGAGCCCTTGGGTGTCCTTCTCGTTTCTTCGATGCTTCGAGCAGGCAGCGTATCACCAGGAGGGTTCTCGGCCGAAACCAGCCCACCTCTGGCCCTCAACTGCAGTGTGACTGTTAGGGGCTGGATTGTGCCCCCAAAAGAAGATAAGTGGAAATCCTGACCCCTCAGGACGTGAGCTTGTCTGCAAACAGCGTCTTTGCAGATGCAGCCAGTTCCGTCCAGAGGAGGACATGCAGGAACAGGGTGGCCTGGAGACTGGCCTCCTGGAGGCCGCCAGGCGGGCAGAGCCTGCAGTGACGCACGCACACGTGAGCGCCGGCTGCCACCAGCACCGGGACAGCAGCGTGGGGCAGACGCTCCCTCCGAGTCTCCAGAAGAAATCAACCCTTCAGACACCTGGGTTTTGAACTCCTGGCCACTGGAATTGTGAGACCAGAATATGTTGTTTTAAGCCACCTCTCTGTCGTAGTTTGTTACCACGGCCTAGAAAACACTGTGACCTGGGTGAGCCACTGCCCCACTCAGAGCCTCGGTTTCCTCATCTGTAAAATGGGGCCAACGGTGGGGCTTCTGCGCAAGCCCGGCGGCGGCACAGGCGTCTTCGCAACGCAGACCCGGCCAGACCGCAGGCGGGCTTTGTTCTCCGCTGCGCCTTCCTGCACAGGGCCAGGTGCTGGAAACTTTTCCAATCCTTTTTTTTTTTTAAACTTTAATTTAAAAAACTCGTTCTGACTGCAGCAGAGCCTGTGTGCTTCTCCACGTGGATATAAAAATGCATCTGGACTCCGAGCCGAATGGCCCATTCAGAGCTTCACAATGCGTGCGTCCTCAGCTGGCGAGGCAGAGCAGCCTGGTCGGGGGCTGGGCTTCAAGACGGGGGATTGCTCGGGAGTCTGGTGCGGCGGGGATTCACGCCATCCTGGTGCAGGGTCCCCGAGGAGCTGCGGTCCCAGGGACCCAGTCGGGTGGGGCGGCCAAGAAGCTGCATCCGGTGGACGCTGAGCCCGAACTTGGAATGAAACAACGGAACCTGGGGGGGCCCACAGTGAATGCCCCCCACGCAGCTGCCCCGACGCCAGCCGCTGGACTTCTGATTCTCCTACCCTGGAAGCTCAGGCCCCACTCCCGTGTCACACAGAACCTGGAGAGGCCCTTGTTCGCGGCTGGAGTTGCTGAAAATTCCTCTTGGCCTCCCTCTGACATGACCCCCGAAAGGTCTCATCTCTTTGTTAGGCTTTTCACCCTAAGGGGCGAGCTGGCACAGCAGGTGAGACGAGGGGCTCTGGGCCTGAGCCACTCTGGTTCCAACCCCTGCTCCGCCACTTACAAAGCTGTGTGACCTCGGGAAAGCTGGGTCACCTCTCTGACCTGTTTCCTCGAGCGTAGAAGATAGGAGGCAGAGACTGGGCGGGGGGACTCAACGAACGAACCCTGCAACGCCGCCGGGCACAGCCTACGTCCCACTGACTGCCGGCTGTCATGATGCCCCACCCCGTCAGCACCCCGCAGCGTGGGGACACCGACAGGCAGGACACAAAAGCCCGCCTGCGCTTGTAGTCTGGGCACAACATGTGGTCCCTTAGAAACAGCAGGGTCACCTTTCCTGAGGTAGCCCCTCCGCTGATGGGAAACCAGGTTGGGTCCCGAGTGCCTCAGTGGTGGGAATGAGGTGGCCTCCAATGGTCACAGCAGTGAGACAGCGACTGGGGGCTAGGACTGGCCGTGGGCAAGCTAGTCCCTGCATCTCGCGAGAGCCCAGTGAGAGGTCGTTATGTTTGCGGCAGCTGAGAATTGGGGGTGGGGGTGGGCGTGAGACTCAGCGCTGGGCCTCAAGGGGCTTCGGGCAGGTGCAGGGAGCACACGGACGGTCCCGGGCACAGCGGAGAAAATGTGGCCCTGGCCTCTGGCCCGAGGTCCATGGGCATCGTCCTCCTCGGTCTCCGGGCCCACACCCGCTTCCACTGAGGGCTGAACCTTGGCTCCCGCACAGCTCAGCTCTGCCGAGTCAGCCTGGGGCCTTGTTCCTCTCAGGTGCTCGGGGGCAGCACAGGGCTGGGTGTCCCCAAAGAGGACGTGGGGAGTCAGATGCCCCTGACCCTTTACGTCTCTCCAAATCCTGCTTTCGCGGCCTGGTTGCCTCCCTTGCAGTCCAAACGCCTTTTCTCATCATGGATCACGGGTTTCCCGAGTTCCCCAGATCCCCAAGCACGTGACCTCGCCACCCACGAGGACGGACAGGACTCCCCCATTCAGCAAAGGGGGACGGATGCATGGGCCACGGTCCACACACAGGTCAGCTTCCTTCCTACGTTCTCTTTCAGCCCACGCGTGTCTCGGGGCCTTCAGAGTCCTGCCTGTGCCTTGGAAGGGCTCCCCTCACCACAGGGGCTTGCCGGCAGCCTGGCACAGGCCGGGAGCCTCGCTGTGCCCTGTGCCCCGTCTGCAATGCCGGCTTGCATGCCCGTCTCCTCATCTCGGCCACGAACCTCGGAGGCAGGCCTCCATCTCTGCTACCAGAGTGCGCTCGGTAAGTATTTCTAGAGCAAACTGGTGTCTCCTGCAGCGCGGGTCTCCTGCGTGGGCGGGGCGGTCGGTGGGTCCTGGCTGTGGCTGGAGGGCCACTGAGGCTCCTGCACACCCTGCGGCTTCGACCTGGAAGACGGCGGGGTGAGGAGCACGCCCATCCTCCATGTCCACGCGGGTGCGGTGCTGCCTTCTGCTCAGGACGAGCCCTGGTCTGATATACGGAGGAGAGGCCAACACCCGTGACCTCGGGACTCACAGGAGGGAACAGCCACTGATGCCACCAGGACGACCAACTGCCGAACCCTCAGCCAGCGACCGCAGAGCCTGGGGTGCAGAACGGTGCCCTCTGGGTATGCTCATGGCAGTGGGGAGCCACCCGGTCCTTGGGGCCACTTCCTGTTGTCATTGGACGGCCCAGGGCTGGCTATTCCTGCTCCTCCTCCCATCCCGTTCCCTGTGCTCTTAGAGCTGAACCCCCGGACTGTAAGCCCGGGGCGCCCTGGCCCTCTGGCTTCTGTGGTGGGTGAGCAGCCTGGAGGCACAAGGGCACCGACAGGCAGGAGGGGGCAGTGTTTCCTCCCCTCCCCCTTCCAGGACCAGGGCTCCTGCCCTCCTGGAAGCCTGTCTCCCCTCAAGCGTCCCTTCGGGGGGTGGCGACCGCTCCCAGTGTCACTGGTCCCAGGGGCTCCCCAATCCCTGGTGAATCCAGGCCCTGCTGACCCCCCCACCGCCCTGCATAAATCCCTCATAATCTGTACCATCTGGGGGTGGGTTCTGTTTCCTGACCCAGATGGCTGCCTGAAGTCTGCCTCACCCGGGGCAGATGGACGCCCCGCTCCGGACAGCAGGTTCCGGGCCCCGGCCCC